CTTAATTATCCAGTTGGATCGGGTAGCGTGTAAGTGAAGGAATGGGAATGTACCAGTGGTAAATCAACCAGAGGATGCACTGAACAGAGACGGGTGGGAATTTCCCTCAGGGCTCCACACATCCTCTCATCTAATAGATTGTAAATCTCACAAGTCATCTTTTTTCTTTTAGCTCCATGCCATATGATTAAATGACGAGAGTAATGTGGGCCCCATCAGATTGAGAAAGGCAGTGATGATAGCCCAGCTCTGATGTGGAGGGGGAAGTCATTTCATATTATGTCCCAGATCTGGCAGATGGTCAGCTCGAATTCCTTTCTCTCCTCAGCACCTTCACAAAACACCTACCTCCTAGATTTCAAAGTGTGTACCTCAGAGTACAATTGCAATCAAATGTGAATGGAAAAATGGAGGGCATTCAGCCTTGACGTATTTCTGTTGGCTGACATGGGAGTGAAGAAGCCAATGGGATTTGCCCATTGGATTTTTAATTATGGCAGAAAATAACACTGTTTTATGATACTTACACGTTATGTTCAGCAGGATAATCCTCACAAAGGACCACCATTTCTATGGCTTTTATAGCGTGTTTATGCATTTGCTATAGAAGTAAAAAGCTAATTTAATGCCGACAACCGTGGCCCAGGGTTGTCATCTACCAATCAGAGGTTCAGTGGTGCAATCCCTAGTTCCCGCAGTAAATGGGTTGAAGTGTCCTCCAATGTACGGAACCCCAAATTGCTCCTGTGGGCATGCCAATGGTTTAATTCACTTTGGATAAAAGCTTGGGACTAACAGATAAATACAATATTATAGTGTAATAACAAACAAACATCAGAGGACTTCACCACCTAAGCTAAAGGCGGACTAATGTTCGCGGTGATGACGTTTAGCAGTGTCAATTAGCTACGTGTTAGCAACTGCATTTCTTACAGTGTAAAAGATTCAAAATACATTTCTTCAGCTTGTGTAAACAGCTTACTGACAATCCATTCCAACTCAAACTCATTGACATTGACATGAGGAAGCAGGAAGTGCAATAAAAAACTAAACTAAAGACTAATTTTTGGGTTGTACGACTCTTTCCTGCAGCACTATTCTCTGCATAGTTCTGGCCTCCTGCACCTGTAGATACATTCTCTGTGTGAGTGCAGCTTAATACGAGCTCTTGCTGTTTGGTCAGCCCCTGCTAGGAGATATAATGAAATCAATATAAACAAAAAACAGCTTCTGCTTGGAGTTTAGATTACTTTCAGACTTTCTATGAAAATGGGGTCATGCCTGAGGTTAGTCCAACTAAGCTTTTCGACTCTTCTATGCATCGTTGATTCACAGCGTTTCCAACTAATTAAGGAGGAATTTTCAACTTGTAAATATATAATTGTTTTGCTTTCTGTCACGGTGGCACAGCAAAGGCCATGGCTGTGCAGAGTTGGATAGGAATTGATGAAGATAAATTCAGTTTTAATGAAGAGAAACAGGGAAAAGACAAAAGTTTCTGACTGAAGAGAAGTTTGAGTATTCTCTTTATTACAATTGATGAGAATGCATGTGATATGGCCTACTGAGCATGAATATCCCATACAATGAAATTGTCTTCAAAAAATAATGAAGCTTCCCAAAACTCGAAATCTTGAGTTTTGCCATTAGCGGTTATATTGAAAACTTTCCATAATCACCTTCAGACCCACCACGTTATATCTATAATGTGTGCCTTTGCTCAGCGATGTCTTGTTTAATCGAAGATAACAAATTGAGTTGCTCCCCAGGCAGCCGGAAGGCGGTGCTGAGTTCAGGGCTTTTTGGTGCGCCCTGTGTTTATAGGCACTTAGAGAGCTCATCCATTCAGGCCAAAGATTGTGTCAGAGGGCCTTGGGTCTCATTAGAACAATGATGAGTCAGCTTTTGTAGAAGAAACGTCTGCTTTTTTGTACATTTCTTTAAGCCCTTTGGAAAGACTTTCAACATGGTTGGATCTCTCTACTTCTTTATTTCCCTATCTTTGTCTGTTCTCTATAGCTCCTGCTCTCACGGTCATCTACAGAAAGTGTTGAAAGGCTTTCAAGCTTTGAAATAAAATGGAAAAGATGTGCAAATGTAAGGAGAAATTAGCCCCTAAATGACACTTACGTTGTTAAGTCATTTTGTCTGTCTAAATCTGCCAATTCTGAGTTTCAGCCCACCAGCACTTTCCAACCTCTCCGTCTCTCTCTTTAAACCATGCTAACAATTATTTCCCAGCAAGATTAATCAAGGCACATGCTGTGACTGTCATTACCCCTCCAAGCGCTGACATTAGCTCCAACAATGTGACTGTAATTCTTATCGTCCTTGCTCACTCAAATAAAAAGCATCCTCAGTCACCAGCCTGTAAATAAAGTGCGCAGTAAAATTCATTTTCACAAAGATCTTCAATACATGCTTCGAGGATGAAGCCTTGATTAATTCTAACTGTGTTTGACACTTACGTAGAGCCTTGGGTCCTTAAAGTGCACCTAAAACATATTGGAGTCTTTCTTTTAATAAAGTTTACGGGGTTAGAAAAGAGAAAATGAGGCAAGACAATCTTGAGCCAAGGGAAATCCTTCGAGGGCAGTTTTGATTTGTTGGAGAAGATTGGATACTAAATTCTGTAAATGTAGGAGGAATATTATTACATCTAGAAAATAAATTTCAATTTTGAGCCTATGAAAGTGATCATCCCCAGCGAACACAGAGATATTTGAAAATAGAGTGCCTCAAGTGAAATTTGAAGTGTTCCTTGCCTTCTAAGAATAAAAAAAAAAAAATGAACAGTTACGAATTATAATTACAACTGCTTATTCGAAGTTTGGTCGCAGTGGAAGCAGTTCCAGCAGAGGACCCGAAACGTCCTTTTCCCTGGCCACATCAACCTGCTCTGAAAGGGGGATTCCAAGGTGTTCCCAGGCCATCGTGGAGATATAATCCCTCCAAATGGTCCTGGGTCTGCCCCTCGGTCTCCTCCCAGCTGGACGTACCTGGAACACCCCCGAGGGTGGTGGCCAGGTGGCATCCTTACCAGAGTTCAGAAACACATAAATTGGCTCCTTTATACGCCAAGAAGCAGCACCTCTACTCCGAGTAGGGTTGCAAAGGGGCAGAAAGTTTCCGGTACATTTCCGGAAAGTGGGGAATTTTGGAAATATTCTATGCAAAATTAAACAAAAAAACATGACATTTCAACAGATTTTTTTTTTTAAAACATTTCGTCGCATCTTGTTGGGCAACATCTACGATATTATAGACCTATTTCATCTATTATCAGGTCATTAGTTCTTTTTCTGTACTTAGGTTGTGAATGTCTTACACAACGACTCAGTTAAAGACTTCACCATTTTTTTACGTAAGAGCGGTCGTCATTTAAATTAAGATCTATGTTACAACTAGTCCTGTCGACGGACATTTCGGGCCTGCGTCTTGCGACCGTATACGGGTGGGAGAGATGGAACATTCTGATGCCCCATCACCACAGGAGCGTTTTAGCGAAGCAAATACAACTCACTAACGACTCACGAGACTGGCGCAGATGCCGTGAAGGACGGGTCGCGATCGTTGCGTGACCTGGGCGACAGGGCACGGCTCTGCAGAATGCACCCTACGAAGACCTAAGCAGAACGCACTCCTGCGCAGGATTTCACATGGCATTTGCAACCGCGCACGACCACCTTATTGTGGTAAACTGATGTCTCCTTACCTGGCCACTTTATAGCGGCACTAGAAGAGCAACTAGTGGCCACTTGCGGCGCCGTGTCTTGCCTGGGCCACCTCTATAGGTCCCCTGTTCCCCTACTCCAACTCTTGGAGTCAGTAGTACTCCCTGAGCCTCAATCCCAAACCGTTTAAGGCCGCTCTAAAAGTTTTCTACCTTGAAAGGTGTCCCTAATTGCCTATTAAATACCCTTATGTTGACCCTTAAAAGTTTAACTTCCAACCGAAAAGTATCCCTGAATTTATATCAACCCCCTTTCATATAAAATCGTATTAGAACTGATTTTGTTTGTCTACGGTAAGTTCATGTGAGACTTATAGGTACGGTATCGTGTGACGAATGACGTACGATAACTCTGGTGTGTTTTCAAACGTTGTCCGAGTCGTGTTACACTCTCACCTTTTTGACCAAACCGTAGTCCGTTTGGATTCCGGAGAAACTCGGACTGTGTCTCGATAGGAGTTGTTCAGACCCTGTCACTGTGACTTCTCCTTCTTGAGTCTCACCTACAACTACTCCGGGTCCTTCTCGGTAACTGACTTTCCCAAATCGGTTTTACGTCTCCTAACGAACTTCCTTCTAAACGTTACATATTACCTGAAAACCTCCCTCTTCCCGAGAAAGTAATTGTAAACTACCCGAACACACCCTAGAAACCTACCCACACGTAAAAACAAGTAAAAATTACTCACCCCCAACCCACACTACTCATTGTAAATTGAGTTGTAAGGACAAAAAGAAGAAAGTTACATTTTTTATTAACAAGTATTTTATTAATTTTGAACAAGACAAGATG